CGGCCTGTGCAAGGGAGGGGGGAGCGGCGGGAAGGGTCTCCAGCAAGCGGCAGGGGGGCCTGGTGTGCTTGCCTTGGCTCCCGGATTTGTTTACGTTCTCTGGAGAGACTTCGGGTAGAAGGGAGCTTAAAGGTCATTAGTTGCAACGCCTCTGCGGTGAGCAGGGGCATCTTCCACTAGCCCAGGTTGCTCAGGGCTCCATCCAGCCTGGTCTTGTACTCTTCCACGGATGAGGTGGCCACAACTTCTACGGGAAACCTGTTCCGGTGCCTCTCCATCGTCACAGTAAATACTTCTTAATAACTAATCTAAACTACTCTCTCAGTTTGAAGCCATTCCCTCTCGTTCTGTGGCTGCATGCCCTTGTAGTAGGCCCTCTCTGCCTATCTTGTAAGTTTCCTTCGGGTACTGAAAGCCCACAATTAGGTCACGCCAAAGCCTTCGCTTCTCTGGGCTGAGCAATCCCAGTTCTCTCAGCCTTTCCTCATAGATGGAGAGGTGCTTTATCCCTCAAATCATCTTGGTGGCCCTGCTCTGGACTAAGATTTTCTTAAATTATTTTTTAAAATCAGACGTCATTGTCAGATGTCATTTGTGAGTGTGGCATGTGGTGGTTGTATTTTTGCCGTTCTTGTTCGCAGAATGCAGATTCAGTGTGAAGAATGCCTCAGTTTACATTGACCCAAAAGAAGGTATAAGACCCTGTGGCAGACTTGAGCAAGCCTGACAAGCATCGGTGGACAGCCGATGTTGGTGTTTATCTTATGACATGTAGGGATATAAGTCACGATAGCAAGCTGTGAAACAAACTTGCGGGCTTTATCTTAAACCCAAGTTTAAAATATCTGTGGGTGGTGTGAAAGGAGAAGGACGTTCAGAAATTTTATCTGTTGGAAATTAGAATTTCTTTCTGTAGTGTATTGTTTTGAGATCTTAGCTTTTAATACCCACCAGTTGAGAGTAACTAAAAGTTTCCTCTCTCTAAAGAGTGAATGTTGAGCCTTCTGTGTTTTGCAAACTAGGGATGCCTTCTGGTCCCAGACTTTTCCCTTAAATTCAGAGAAATATTAACATTGTGGTCTTTAAACTAGAAGGGGAGAGTCTTATGCAATTTTTTAATTCTTGTAACTAAGAGGCAAAAATAATAGTTTTAACAGAGACAGTTCTCTATGCAGACACTGAGCAGCAGAAGCTTCAATTTTTTCCACTCAAATTGAAAGAACTTTTATGTGGGATTTTGGTACTTTGGTGCATTGGAATCAAACAGAAGTCATGTTTGATTTGTTTGGGGGGGGTTTACCTCCACAGTACTTTGTTGCTAACATCTAGGAAGTTGTAGCATTCTTATATCTTACGATCTTAAGATGTGTCATTTCCTACTTTTATTTTTTTTTCCCCCAGCAAGTATTCAGTCTGTATGAAAAAGCTTGGTCTGGTTCACCTGTGCAGTTTGCTTGGCAGAAAACTTTAGGAAATTTTCTTGCTGTAGCAGGGTAAGATTGCAACTATTTCTTGCATTTGTCCATCAAAAATACTGATAAAGAAAGGGAATTATTCTATATATTAATCTTTTTTAGAGGTGATCATGCTGTAAAAATTTATGATCGTCATGGTCAGAAGAGAAATGAAATCAGCCTGCCAGGGTAAGTACTAAGATAGGTTT